CATTTTTTCTTGCCGCGGAGGACGCGGGCGGGACCGCCGCGGCGCATCTCGGCGGTCTGCTGGGGGGGAGGGGGGAGGCACAGCTAGTGCGGGGTTCCCTCACCCCGTTTGTAAGTAGGGATCCAACATAAGTCGGATCCACGTAACCTGGGGACTGCCTGTATTACCACTTATTCAGTACCCTAAGTACCTATGTGGGCTGGAGCTACTGGATGCTGAGGTCTTTGGGGGGAGGAAACGGCTTTTAAAGTAGACAAGATTATTCGGGGCTTGACCTTCCAAGTCCTTGCTCAGGAAAATATCCTCAAAGGAAGCCAAATTGAAATTAACGGAGCTTTGCCTGAGCAAACTGCAAGATCAGATCCACTAAAAACGGTCTCATTTTGTAATCTTTTATGGTGTAAGGCCTGATCCCTTTTACTTTACTCACAGAAGCAGTTCCCTTGAAATTCAGTGAGGAAAGCAAGTAGGACTTGGACCTTAATCCTTCCTTGTTTACTCACTTTACACAATGCAGTACATGTCCTTACTGAACCTCTGCTGACAAAAAATTGATTTAGTGTAAGTGCTGTATTTAAATGCTTGCAACTGAGTCATGCTCGGATACTGGTAATGCATTTTGAAAGGTTTTTTGGCATGAAGGGGGAAGATTTGCATACACAAAAGAAATAAGATGTTTATCTCCCTCCTTGGCAGATGGCATGTTTACAAAATGTGAAAATCTTTTGTGGAGGAGACATTGCAGACTTTAAGGGTTTAGTCTAGGTAAAAGTTTAATGTATTTACTTTTAAAGCAGGATTCTGCATTCACAACTGTCATGACAACGACTTGATATGGACACTTGCTCACTGGAGACAGAATAGCCCAGATTCACAAAGGTATTTAGGCTCCTAGTTTCCATTGAAAAGTCTATCAAATGTCTATCAACAGCTATCAAATGGTAAAACTTTCCACTCACCAAGGCTAGAATTAAACAGCCACACTTTATATGAAAATGTTGTTTCTGAAATATTTGAAGGGTTAATAAATGATTACATGGGTTATAAGTAGGCTACAGACATGAGTAGGATGTATTATAGATGGGTATAAGCAAAAATCAGAAGGAATTAGACATAAGTCATGATTGTGGAGCAAATTATAGACCTTTTGGATGCTAACAATTTATTAGTAATTGTAATCCTTATTAAAATATTCCTAAAACAAAACCTTAACATAAAAATGAACAAGTCTGGAGTCCATTATCCAACTGTTATTCTTTTAGAGCTGGAAATTAAGTCCAACAAAAACACTGATCTAGGGTCCTATTTTAAATAAGGAATTATTTAATCTTCTTATTTTTGGTTCATTATATGCACAAAAATGTAATCCCATCACCCACCCCGTAGCATGGACTGGCAACTATTAATGCCTGTAATTAACAGATGTGTGTTTTAGTCCCTCCCCATTGTGATACACTGCTTACTTTGATTTGGTAGCAGTTACAGAAGCGAGATAGCATGACACCAAAAAAATTTTTCATTTGGGTTGGACCAGAACTGAAATATTTTACAAATTGAAAAGTTGGGAAAAAAAAATGTTTGGGGTATTTTAAGGAAAGCAAAGGAAAATAAGGTCTGTTTTCACAAGACTGGAGAAGGAACAAGAGGTGATCTCTTTATGCCCAATAGCCCCATTGTTGGTACACATTTGGGATGGGAGAGGCCTAGGTGAAAGTCTCCTGTCTGGGTCAAGGACTGGAAACCCAGGGGATCCACCTCCCAAGTGAATGCCCCAATCAGTGGTTATCCAGTCACTCGCTGTGTCATGGCTCCCATGACTACTCTGCTATTTTATGCAAAAAGCTCCAAAGCAGAGACTGAGACAACCCCACCCCCGATTACTTTGTGGGCTCCTGGGAGAGGAGAGGCCTGGATTCAAGTCTGTTCTCGAGTGGGATTTTGCACATAGGTCCCCATCATTCCCCAAGAGGGCATTCCCCCAAAGGCTGTTAAGTGTAAGGGAGGGAAGGGGACACCATTACAACTGCCTGGTTTGTGAACGACGTCTAAATGCCCTTGTGAGTCTAGCCCAAATAGCTGAAGTGTTTTGTTTTGATAGTCTCCATTTGATAGGACATTTTCCAAAAATGGATTCCTGAGCAAGGCAACTGCCTGCTGTTATTTGTGTTTATTGTGTTCAGGGTAGACAGGCCTGCATGTACATGGTTTGTAAATAAATAGAGTTCCACCAAAGGAACACTTAGCTCTTATCACCAATTTCCTCTCCTAACCAAGACAAGTCAGCAAGGCCCCAAATGCTAGCTAACTGTGTGGGCCAAAGGGGCAACAATGTTATACTTAGAGGTGGTTTAAGATGAGCACTTGGGTGGCTACTCAGGAGAGATTCAAATGCTACCCAGCTGATTAGCAAAACTCCCACAGCCGAGAGTGTGTGTTTCTACTGGAGGTGCCCTCCACACATGCCTCACTGCACATAAAATTTATTCCACACATGGATGGAAAAAATTAGAGGGAACATTGCTTAGAGGTGCCATATTTGTTAAGATGCTTGGATTTCCCTAAAATAGCAATTTTTCAGGGCTATATAAAAGGATTTTCCTCATAAATCAACTGTGAGAAAGTGAACTGCCACAAGAAAGGAGGTGAATGATATGGCTCAAGGTAGCATTTGATCACCCCAGGCAAATACATTCCTAACATAGGGTTTTCACACCAAGCTATTGCTATGATATTTATTATAATACTTTTGAAAATTATTTATATTGATTTGATAATAAACAAGTGATTTATATACTCAGTAAAAGTAGAATTTAAGTGATTGTGAGTTTTGTTTTGTCTTGCTTTATCTTTCATGTATTTTACTTAAATTCACATCAGAAAACTTTGCAAATTCAGCATCTCAGTTTGAGAAATAAGGCCTGATCTCTTGCAGTCTTATGTTAAGCTATACTTCAGAAAGGCTATGACTATGATGAAGACTATGGCTAGAAAAAAAAAATACACACACACACACACACACACACACACAGTTTCCCATAGTCCTGGGGGTGTGCTTAACTGCTTGTTGCACTCCAGGCATAAGTCTGGCAAATATATACAAGTCTACAGTTTTAAAAGTCTTGCTCTCATTTAGTAATGCATCTAATGATACTGTAGTTTGTGCTGGAAATGTACAAAAGCAGGCCCCTACGCAAGGGGCATGTGAAGGGTGTGAATGCAGCCCCCCCCCCAGTCCTCCAAGTAAGCGTGAGGCTGGGGTGGCACACTGCCCCAGCCTCCCTCCCCCATGCTCCAGACAGCTGGGGGAAGGCTAAGGCTCAATTCCTTTCCCCACCCCCAATCCCCTCCAGGATCTAGGCCGAGGATGGGGCAGCCACCCACAACTTGCAACACGCCCCCAACCCCAGGAATTCCTGAATATACAGGCCTGAAAAGCCACAAAAACTATAATTTATATTGTGACAGAACCTAATAGCCCCTAATAGTCACGTAAGACCGCAGCTCATTGCATTCAATGCTTCACAGTACCAGCACAAAAACCCAGCTGAAGAAGAGAGTTTTGTAAGCTCCTCAGGGCAGAGACTAGGGCTATGTCTGTACTTAAGCCACTACAGTTATACAGTGCTTCAGTGTTGTCTTTCATTAGAGGAACAGCAGGGGTTCTTTACCACTGACCGCACCTGAAATTACATCGGCATAATGTTGTTCCTCAGTGTGTGGATTTTTCCACACCCTTGAGCAACTTAGCTGGGTCAACTATCTTTTTAGCATAGCCCTGTTCCAAGTATAAGACAAGATCTACAACTACACAGGTATTGAAGACAAAGGCTGATGCAGTCAAGATGCTGTAATGATGTTATATAGTTCTTGGTGAGTTTTTTAATAGGTTATCAATCATCTTCTCTGCTAGGTAATTAGAGTACAATCCAGAATTTGAACAATAATTTTTAGAGGCAAGTAAAGACAGTGGGTAATTTCTGATTTTACCTACAATGGAGCAAAATCAGGTGTGACTCCACCAAAGCCAATTAAATTTCACTGGTATAAAATAAATGTCCAATAAACGTAAAGCATCAAATGCAGGGGAAAAGAAATGCAACCCCCACCCCACCCCTAAATTTATGCCCCTTCCTATAAGGATTTTGTAGTGGAAGAAAGTTAGTAGATATTGGAATACAAAGGAGACACGTTTATGTAGCAAGACTACATCTAGTGGTAAGAGGAATGGTTTAGCTTCGCTAGGCAAAAAAAAAAATCAATCAAGGTAGTTCTTACATTCAAGAAGCACAATTATTCTGGTCTTAAACATTTTAGACTAATTCCACCTATTTACACTTTTTAAAAAGTCACAGAAATCCAATCTGTATGTAAAGCACATATTGAAAATGTACAATAGGCATTCTCCAACACTAAGAGTGTCCCAGAATATCTCCAAGAGAGCCCCTTCGTTAAAAAAAACCCGCCTCTGTAAAGCAATGTATATTGATCGATACTCTGGCAGTTTGCTCAAAGTAGGTGTCTAAGCAAGCATCCAATATGATCAAAGGACCTGAAGTTTTTCATCACTTCAGAAATCAGGAGCCATTGAGCTCAGGCATGACAAATTTCCTGGCCATCTCTTAAGAATAATTCCACAAAGAGGTATTAAATATGACAGATTTATCTCATTCCCTTGCTACTTATCCCATTGCTGAAGTAAATTAAGCTATTCACTAATTAAGCTATTCACATTGTCCATCACCATCAACCATTGGGCTCTCCATTCAACACAAAACAGGACACGAAAAGAAACATCCAAAAGTTTTGCCAAGCAGAGCAGAGGTTCCCACGCTGACAGAGAACTCCCCGAAGCACTTACATGAATAAATAAGCATTTTATATAAATTACATCTTCTAACTAGTCCATTTCCAATGGAGTTGGGATGCCTGTGGAAATCATTAAGAGCTGGTTTGTGGCTCACCTCTGTGTCCATGGGTTCCACCTCTATCTTTTTCCATAGCTCCAGTAAGTGGGCAATTGGCATGTTGGAATTTTTCTTTCACAGGCTGAGGGAAGAAGAAAATGTGAGAATGCGTGGAAGAGGATGAGAGAGACAGCCAGAACTGTGAGTTAGCGAGAGTGCTGTGTCTAACAGACACAGAGAACTTGTCAGAATGCAGCAATCTCTGGGATATGCTGGAGCCCCTTTCTCGAGTGTACCGTGTGGCTTCCTGTGTGACCACCACCAATTCCCACTCCTCAGGCAGCCAGACACACAGAGGAGCTGCTGCTTCACACTCAGGCTTTGAAAGGGGAGGGAGAGGAAAAAAGGAAGAGGAGGGATAGGTAGAATTGCAGCTCTAAATTTTGCCAAGTGACTTTGACAGAGTAAATGCTTCTTTTACAGCAGTGAGTTGAACTACCTTTCTCCCCACCACCACCACCCCCACTCCCCCTTTAAAAAAACACGCTTAATTTGTTCTTTAAATTATGGGTGTAAGTTGAGCGTGAGGATGCCGCTGCGGCTGCTGCTGTTGCTATAGCAACCACAGAGCAAGCAAGGAAGGGAGAAGGGAGGGGAGATGCAGCAGAGCCCCGCCTCTCAGTCTTACTTCTGGCTCCTGTACTGACAGCACCTGCAACAGCTCCCAGGTGGGTCAGAATCTGTCCTGGCTGGAAGCTTAATTCTCTCCCCAAGTGGCAGTCAAACATGGCACTGCATAATGCATTTCTAGCTAGCCTCATACAAGGGCCGTCTCAGTGAAGTGAGGAAACACCAACAAACGGTATAAAAATACTGGTTGCAAACTGAACTGCTGTTCCAGGAAGAGAAAGGTGAACTCCCCATGTTACAGTGTGTCCCTGGCTCTCTTGAATCTCCTAATCGGCAATGGTATTATTGATTATGCAGTCTCTTGTGGGTTTGGCTTGGTTTCTTTCCCCATCAGTTAAAAAGCCATCTTAGGGCTCACTTCTGTCAGATTCTAAAAGCACTCAGATCCCTTTGACTGGGATTCAGTGCCCAGCAGGTAAGTGCAATTTCCAGAGAAAGATAGAATGTGCTTGATTCATTCTGTGCCAAGGGCAATCCCAGATCCCAAAGTGGGAGCCAGTGAGCAAACTCATACCGATCAAAACCTAGGTAAGGACCACATAAAACCTGAGCAAAGCATACAAGATTTGCACCATACAGCGTGGTAGCATATGTACTATGTGTAAGAACGTAAGAGTGGCCATACTGGATCAGACCAATGGTCCACCTAGTTCAGTATCCTCTTTCCAAAAACAACCAGCATAGGTGCCTTCTGTTAGGGTGAAATAGGCTGGAGCACCCAAGGAAAAAATAATCAGTAGGTGCTTAGCACTCACCAGCAGCTAGTCCCTCCAAGCCATCAGCAGCCATGCTGATTCACTCCTTCCCCTTTTTCCCAGTGCCTCCTGCAATCAGCTGTTTCAAGGAGTACAGAGACTGTGGGAAGGAAAGGGAAGAGCAGGGATGGAGCAGTGACTTGGTGGAAGGGGTTTGGTGGGCGGAAGTGTCTGGGGCAGAACAGGGGAATCCAGTGCCTGTAATAACCAATACCAGAGCTTCACAGACAGTGTACAAAACAGGGCAAATTTTGGAAGATCCACTCCTATCTTCTAACATAAGCTTCGGTTCCCTCCAGGCATGGGGTTACATCCCTGACTATCTTAGCTAATAGACAATGTTGGACCTATCCTTATGAATGTATCCAATTCTTTTTTAACCCAGTTATACACCTGGTCATCACAATATGCAATGTCAATGAGTTCCACATGCTCATTTTGTGTTGTGTGCAAAAGTATTTCCTCTTGTTTGACTTACACCTGCTACCTACCCAGGGAAAGTTGACAAGTTATATAGTGTATGGAAAGGTAAATACATGCTCCCTTGATATCTGACAAAAATGTAGGTAACAGTACATTTTATCAGTGACACCCTCTAATGCAAGTTACTCCCAATACATCCCAAGTAAAAGAACTGCCATATATAAGCTATAAATAGTAGAATTACTCAGGGACAGCTCTACTACATGTAGGCCACTGTTGATCTCTGCCAAGAAAGGATCCTTTTAAGAAGCAGTATTTTCTTCCTGTAAGCATTGGCTGTGTCTAGACTGGCCAGTTTTTCTAGAAAATCAGCCGCTTTTCCGGAAAAAACTTGCCAGCTGTCTACACTGTCCGCTTGAATTTCCGCAAAAGCACTGACTTCATACTGTAAGAAATCAGTGCTTTTTGTGGAAATACTATGCTGCTCCCATTCGGGCAAAAGTCACTTTTGTGCAAAAGGACCAGTGTAGACAGCTGAGATTTGTTTTCCACAAAAAAGCCCCGATCGCGAAAATGGCGCTCGGGGCTTTTTTGCGCAAAAGCGCGTCTAGATTGGCCACAGACACTTTTCCGCAATAAGTGCTTTTGAGGAAAAGAGTCCTGCCAATCTAGACTCTCTGTTCCGAAAATGCTTTTAACGGAAAAGTTTTCCCTTAAAAGCATTTCCGGAAAATCATGCCAGTCTAGACATAGTCACTATGTTTTAAAAGATCACTCTGTCCTTCCACCATCTTCATTTTTTCCCCTCAAAGTTACATCTGCCTCTGGTCCTATAAACATTTGCTTGGGCATATTGGCAAGTTGCACTCCATAGGGGGCAACATACTGGCTTTGTGTAGGCTATATTTCCAGGGTGGTATTATCTGCTGCAGCAGGCCCAACAGCCACTGCAGGCCCCAGGGCAAGGTGAGGAGGGGGCCTTGACTCCATGCTCCCGAAGGGCCAGAGCTGAGGGCAGAAAAGGCAGGGCTGAGGACAGTCAGCTCTTAGCAGTCCCAGGACTGCAGTGCCCCCTCCCCGTGCCCTCAGATCTGCTGCTGCAGCAGCTGCCAGGCGCTCCAGACCCCTTTGAATCTCCAGGCCCCTGTGCAATTGTCCTTTTTGTCCCAATTGCCTCGGGAAACAGAGGGGCCCCTTTAACTCTCTACTTCCTGAGGCAATTGCTCCCTTGGCCACCCTTGTCGGTGGGCCTGATTTACTTGGAAGCTCTCTCCAGAATCCTGAGCAGAACAAATGAAGATGATGCCAACCAAAGAGAATCCTTCTCAGGTTTTATGGTGAACCCCATGCATCCTGTGAGTGGAGTTCAGCTTTTAAAATATGCATATTTGGTGGAGCAACTGTCATGCATCTTCTAAAACCTGCCTACATCCCTTAGATAGAGACTCAGAGGACAGCATTCAGATTTCTATGGGGCATACCTTGTTCATTTCACAATAACTGAGTCACGGATCCATCTGAGTGCCATTGAGATAATCAAGCATACCCCCATTTCTTTCAGAAAGGAGACAGACATTGTGCATATGGCACAGGTGTTTTGAGAGGGAAAGGCAGGAAGTAACTTTAATTTTGCCTAATCTGACATCATGAGGCAGATTGTCCCCCCACCCTCTGAATGAACAGAGCTCAATTTTGACATCATTCCAAATTTAGGGATGGCAATAAAATTCATACGAAATAAAAGCAGCAAAGTGTGGTTAAGGTGAAGGTATATGAAATGAGATAAGCTATCCCTGAACTCCTTTATGAAGCCTCTTGTTAGATACTTATAAAGCACATTAATCAAACATGCCAATTGGAGTACTTAATCATTAATAAAAAATCTCAAGATTGTTTTTAGGTGTGACAGATGTTAAAAGCACATCAAATATTCACATACTTTATAAGTGTTGATGTGCTAGCTGTTGATTGTATTTCTGGCTTAATACAGGAATTGAAATCACACAGGGAAGAGAGGGGAATAATTACAGAAAATCCCTAATGCAGTTCGGGATTTTCAAAGTTTCACTGCTGGGGGAAGAGAACATATACTGGTTTGACCTGATTCAAGAGTCCAGTCAGCCAGACAACTGTAGACATTATGAAGAGACAGCCCTGGTCTAAATGAGCTCATTCCAGGTCTATCCCTCTGCATATGTGAAATATGGAGCTGCATGGGACACCCAAACATTGGGGGAAAATTTTACAGTGCTCTCCCTCCCCCCGACAGGTGCTGTGTGCACCTCAGGCAGTCAGTTGTTCTTGGAAGGAGGCAGGGCTGCCCTCTGTGCCCCTT